TATATATATATATATATATATATATATACATATATATATATATATATATATATCTTCTTCTTCTTTGGCCTTAGTCCCGTATGGTTGCGGGGTCGGCTATTTAGAACAAGCCATTTTAGACTTGTCCATATGATAATGACTTTTTTTTACACATTCAGGCCGGCCTGTCATCTATGCCTGTCACCCTCATACACTCATACACTACGGACAATTTAGCCTACCCAATTCACCTGCAGCATGTCTTTGGACTGTGGGGGAAACCGGAGCACCCTGTCACGATCGGTGAGGGAAAAAAAGGAGTGCAGACCCAATTGCAGAAAAAATGTAGAAATATTTATTATAAACTACAAATAAAAATAAAAGGCAAAACAAAACTACCCCAAAGGGGAAAACATGAATTAAAAAGGCAAAAACAAACTTGACAGGGCTGGCAGGACAAACCAGGACTGGAGACAACAAGACAGGGTAATATCGACGACGAACTGGCAAAGGACTGAAAACATGAGGGGGATTATAAAGCAAAAAGTAAATTGACACACAGGTGAACACGGCAAACTAATAATGAGTAAACAAGGAGGGTGGGACTAGACAATAGACGGGAGAGCGCATGACACAGAGAGACAATACAAGCCATGCGCTCACATAACACAACACTGAAGCACACGACAAAAGCACGTGACCACAATGTAAACCCCGAGCCACGTGCTTTGACAAAAGACGCAAGACACGAGCACACGATGAATGAAAGCACTCACCGTGCGCTCACACACGCAGCGTGCATGCTTCATCCCAGCGCCGACCAAAACCGAAACAAACAAGACTGAGACGCTGGGAATGAAACACCACGCTGCTGACAGACGAAAACACAAACACGAGTACAAGAGCGCACGCGTCTGAGGGACGCAGAGACAGAGACAGTAACAGGACCAGACATGAGTAGTGTCAAAGCTCTGCCACCAAAACAAGAATTTACAAGACCAAAGTGGCAGAACCCTGACACACCCTGAGTTTAAAAAAAAAAAAAAAAAAAAAAAAAAAAAAAATATATATATATATATATATATATATATATATATATATATATATATATATATATATATATATATATATATATATTTATATATATATATATATATATTTTTATATATTTATTTATATATATATATTTATTTATTTTTATATATATATTATTGAAATTAATAAAATTAACAACGTCAACATGAACAGCAGAATCAACAGCAGATAATAAAAACTGGAGAGTCAATAAGTTATACAATGTATTCATACTGCAATGCATGCTGGGATTTTTGTACTTTGTCACACCCAGCAAGTGTAAGGTGTAGGCCAGATCTGGGCCAGAATAAAAGCAAACTGTGGCACAGAATAGGGTCAGTTCTGATTCATTTGGTTGAATTGACAACTTAATTGTTTTATGTTCAATCCACTAAAATGTTAACTTAACAGATTTGTGTTGGGACAGCATGTATGAATTGTGTGGAACCCTTCTTTTTTTTTTTACAGTGTGTATTTTGAAGCTGATGTTTTTCTTTGTGTGTTTGTTTGTAGATCGGAGGCTGGAACATCACAGAGTCCTGGGACAAAGAGAATTTTCTGGATGTTTTAAAGATCATTTCTGGACCATACAGAGCTCAGCCCTTCTTCACCGTCAGTGTTAGCGTAGACCCCAAAAACTCCAACAGCAATGTGATTCAGGTACATTTACTCGGCTTATCCAATTTTTGTTAAAGAGCCCATATTATACATGAAATAGGGTCATATCTTGGTTGTAAGGGTCTCCAACAACAGTTTAATATGCATGCCAGGTCAAAAAACACTTTCATGGTCTTATAATATGCATTTATTTTTACCCAATTATCCCAGCGACTCCCATATGAATGGTACAGCGATTCATTTGTTCCCAAACCCCTCGTTAGCGCCAAGCTAATCTGCGCTGATTGAACCGATGACAGCCTGTTGCGATTGGTAGACAGCATTCAGCGCTAGACAAATGCCCAGTGCGAGACAAATGCCCAGCGCAGTTTATCAAGCCCCCGGCGGACGGGCCGCGCGATAACCCTGTGACTGTCATAACCCCCCGCAGGGGAAGTATTAACGGCACTTAGCAGTGAAAATGAAACCGATAGCGTGCACATCATTTACTGAGCGCGATTTTCTCCCGAGCTTTTCTCCCTTCTCAGCTGTAACTTAGATAATTTCTTTTTGCAATTATTGCTGTGGCACCTCTTGCGTGAAGTGTTATAAGTTCTTAGGGCTTACCTGTTCTCTGCTTTGCCCAAAGATCCCATCCCCAGCCAGGGGGGTGTAGTGCTCACCAGCGTGTAGCAGGCTGCCTCTGTGCCTAATAAACTGGCCTTATTTTGCACGCACCCCTGGTGTATTGTCTGCCCATTCTCACAAGTCTCATACACCAGTCTTTTCTTATCCTTTCTTTAACAAACGAATGAATCGCCCACTGTAAGCATGTAGACTGCTGAATCAACTATTTCCCCTCACACTTCCAATAATATCCAGGTAAGCAGAGCGTCTTCTTGACTCATGACTTTAGGATCTGTTTGTCTTCGCGGCTGTGTTTGTGGGCGGGGCGCAGGTTTAAATTTTCCCGGGTTTGCACCCATAGCAACTATCTTTCGTAGTCACGTCACGCCGAAACGGCTAAAGACTCGTTATGTAGACGATTCATTCTAACCACTATGAGTCGACTCTTTTTTTTTTTTTTAGATGAATCAGTAGTTTTAAAAACTGTCCACTTTCAGATTTAACCCTTAACTGGATTTTTGACTTCACTTAGATCTGTGTTACACACTACATGGAAGCTCATTTTCGAAAACCCACAATAGAGGCTCTTTAAGCATTGTTGATAGCTAGTGTTACATAATAAATCAATGAATTAGTTAAACTAGCATAAATTGTTAATGTTACAACAAATGGTGAAATAGGCATTTAAGTATTAAGTTATTCTCTTTAGAGATTTTTATTTTAAAATAGGTTATATCTTATATAACTATATTTTTTATATTTTTATGGAATTATAAAAGCTTATTAATTATGTTAGGATTTTATAGTGTTTGTATAGTGATGTTTTTTATGTTCTTGATGGGTCTGTTGCAATGTAATTTCGTTCTGCATTACAATTCTATTGTGATATGTTGAATGACATAAATAAAGGAAACTGAAACTGAAACTAAAATAAAATGTAGCGCTAACAGTAGTCGACCTGACTAAAATATGAAGTTAAAGTCATTAACTTATTAAATAAGTATCCTAAAAGCATGTCTTTTGTTTTTGCCATGATGACAGTTCATAATATTTTTAGACATAAGCATTGTTGATAGCTAGTGTTAAATAATAATTCAATAAATTAGTTGAACTAGCATAAATTGTTCATGTTACAACAAATGGTGAAATAGGTATTTAAGTATTAAGTTATTCTCTTTAGAGATTTTTTAAAATAGGTTATATCTTATATAACTGTGTTTTTATTGAATTATAAAAGCTTATTAATTATGTTAGGATTTTATAGTGTTTGTATAGTGATGTTTTTAATGTTCTTGTTGGGTCTGTTGCAACGTAATTTCATTCTGCATTACAATTCTATTGTGATATGTTGAATGACATAAATAGAGGAAACTGAAACTGAAACTAAAATAAAATGTAGCGCTAACAGTAGTCGACCTGACTAAAAATAAGAAGTTAAAATTCAATTCAATTCAATTCAATTCAGCTTTATTTGTATAGCGCTTTACAATGTAGATTGTGTCAAAGCAGCTTCACATAAATGGTCATAGTAACTGGAACAGTGTGGTTCAGGTTTTAGTGTTTAAGTTCAGTTCAGTTTAGCTCAGTTCAGTGTGATTTAATCATTACTGAGAGTTCAAACACTGAAGAGCAAATTCATCGATGCGTAGCTCTACCAATCCTGAACCATGCGAGGCAGTGGCGACAGCGGAGAGGGAAAAAAAACTTCACCTGATGGGAGTGAAGAAAAAAAACCTTGAGGGAACCAGACTCAGTTGGGCACGACCATTTTAATAAGTTAAAAATCATTAACTTATTAAATAAGTATCCTAAAAGCATTTGTTGTCATGACTTTTTGTGTAATAACGAATGTCTTTTGTTTTTGCCATGATGACAGTTCATAATTTTTTGGACATATTGCGAGATAGTAGCTTTCAACATGAAAATTCACTTGCTCTGTTAAACAGCACTTGGGAAATATTTGGTAAAAGAATAAAAAAAGGGCTAAGCATTTTGGCTTCAACTGTGTGTTTACCTCATCTGTGTTTGTTTGCTCAGCTGTGTAAACTTTCTGTTTCTCCAGGTCGACCAATCAGGACTCTTCCTCCCGTCCCGAGATTATTACCTCAATAAGACTAACGAGAAGGTAGGATTGAACAGATTTCAGTTTACATGGCATTATGTTGTTTGAAAAAAGTTAATTAATCATAATTAAACATTATTATAGATTATTTTAATAAGCAACAAGAAAAAATAATCAATTCACTTGTTTTTGGCAAATGAGCAGCTAAATTGTAGGATTGTATGTTTGACAGTAAGAATAATAGGTTGAGTTTTTAAATCAGAATATGCTCACCAAAATATAGGTTTCCTCATGAGAGAATTAAAAAAATAAAAACATTTTAAAGAACCCTAATAAGAAAGCAGGGGTGGCATGGTGGCTCAGTGCTTTGCACTGTTGCCTCACAGCAAGAAGGTCGCTGGTTCAAGTCCCAGCTGAGCCAGTTGGCATTTCTGTGTGGAGTCTGCATGTTCTCTTCATGTTGGCATGGGTTTCCTCCGGGTGCTCTGGTTTTCCCCACAGTCCAAACACATGCGCTATAGGTGAGTTGAATAAACTAAATTGTCTGTAGCGTATGTGTGTGAATGTGAGAGTATGGGTGTTTCCCAGTACTGGGTTGCAGCTGGAAGGGCATCCGCTGCATAAAAAATATGCTGGATAAGTTGGCGGTTCATTCCGCTGTGGAGACTCATGATAAATAAGGTACTAAGCCGAAAGAAAATGAATTAATGAATGAATAAGACAGCAGAAGTTGGTGTCAGCTATTCGTTTGTAGTCATTTTGCGTATGTTAATAAATAACCCAGAAAAAAAATAAAATAAAAAATTTGCTGAATTTAGTTTAAACCTTTAGTTTAATTTGATGCCTCATTCATTTGTTTTGATTTGTTTTCTATGCATGAAATTTTAAGTAGGTCGCACATTGGCCGCGCCACTTCCTTTCTTTACATTCTTACCTATACACTCAAAAACTTACAGTATGTTTGCTGTTTGTTCAAACTACTTATTTTAATTGTGCTGAAACAACACTATTCTCGAGGGTTTTAATTGTTTTATGTTCAATCCACTTAAATTTGTAAAAAACTAATAAGTTTACCTAATTTCTTCATGTTGTCCCAACACGAACCGATTATGTGAAAGCCAGCATTTACTACACTATAAAAAATTGTAAGTTACTTAAAGTGAGTACACTTAAAGAGCCCCTATTAATCATTATAAATGGTCATGTTTTGGTTTTGGGGTCTCCAGCATCAGGCTATCTGATACCTGAAAAACGCTTTCACTGTCTTATAATATGCATTTATATTTACCTAATTATCCCAACGACTCCCATATTGGTGATTCATTTGTTCCCAAACCTTTCCTTTGCGTTAGGCTAATCGGTCCCACTTTATAAGTGTCCATAACTACTACGTACTTGCATCAAAAAAATAAATACAATGTACTTACCGTATTTATAATGTATTTGAGAACACTTGTGGTGCTTTTGAGTTGGGATAGGGGTTGGGTTATGGACAGGTTTGGTGATATAGGTAGGTTTAAGGTTGGGTTAAGGTGTAAGGGATGGTCAACAGTGTATTTACAAATGTAATATACAATAGTTAATTACAGATGTAATTACATACATGTATTTAATCAAGCATAAGTACACAGTAAATACATGTATTTACACAATAAGTACATTGTAGCAAACAATTAGTTCCTATGTAAGTACATGTAATGCCGAGTTCAGACTGCATGATTTTCAAAGTAGTCATGTCACAGATGTTTTCACACTGCATGACTATCTGGGCTAGCGTTTCGTCGCTGCTTTGTTTACACTGCAAGATGGATCGGTGACAAGGACTTTCACATTGCATGACTTTACTATAGGAAGAATCGCCGACAAGTTCGTCCAAACTACGTCTCACAGCCAAAAACACGTCGTATATCTTTTGTTATTAACTACATAAGGAGAAAGAAGCCTTTAATGGGGTAGAACATGAACATATTTGCTCACCTGGGTTTAAAGGGAATTAGCCATTTCTCCTCAACGTTGATAATAAACTAATTTCTTTCTGTATGAAACGTCAAACAGACACGGTTGCTCCTGAGCCTTGTCAAACCTCCACTAGTTTTTCCTCCATTTCGTGGGTCCAAATAAACCGAGAATGAGCGCTTTTAACTTCTCCCCCAGCCTCCCACTGGCCTGCAGCAGGTATACACACACACGCACACACCAGTGAAAGCTGCTCTCTCATTGGCTGTAGGCGATCGCTGATGTTATTTTCAGTCAAAACTCAATTCACACGGCATGATTTGAATCGCCGACAGCTCCAGATATTTAGCATGCCAAATATCTCGCAGGCATCGGCGACTCATCTGCGATTCTCTCAGATCGCGTCTTTGATAGTTCATACTGTGTGATTGTCACTCACGTGCACGAGCAGCGATTTGCCTGTGATTTCAAGCGATTTCTCAAAACCTGTCGGCGAGCCAAAATCGGGGCTAAAATCACGCAGTCTGAACTAGGCATTAGTTAAGACCACTTAATATAAAGTGGGACCGGCTAATCTGCTGTGATTGATCAGACGACTCAGTCTGTTGTGATTGGTCAACTGCGTTCAGCGCAAGACGGAAACACCCACCACAGCTTGTTAAAATTGTTGAAGTAGTCAGAGTGCAGCGTTTGTGTGTGAACCCAATGCAGGAGTGCATTCAAGCAATGCAGTTAAACACAAGCATATTGCTCTATTCTTAACCATGAATAATAACAACGACACACCTTCAGTATTAATACACAGTGGCAAAAGCTGAACTATTTTGAAACTTGACATGTCTAGGAACAGCTGACGGTGGCTATAGCAAAGACAAACGGCAAAGGATTGCGAGCTCACGAACACATTTAAATCCGTAAAGAAAGTGGCATGCGTCACATTTTCAACGTGGTTCTAGAAGCGATATGTGAATATGAGTTAGTTGTGAAAGTGTTAACCTGATACAGTATAAGCCGTGTGGAGCAGTTACAAGTGACACAACACAATAAAATACATCATTTGCTAGCTAGAGAAAACAAGTAGACAACCATTTTAATTGCACTTACTTACACTTGTGAAACTAAGGAAGAAACTGATCCATGAACTGTGTAATGTAAAGTTCCATTCAAGCTCTGACTAAGTCCCATACATCAACAGTCTTTGCTGATCCTTCCTTTAACGAACCGCCGATGAATCCCCCGTCGCAGGGTAGATTATTGCAATTATCACCAGAACGTTCACTTATTAATGTTCACTCATCTTCAGTCATGATCAGTCCCACACATACCCGCAATACGCTAGTGTTTGAAGGGAAAGGCACGTTCACGTTTTACCAGATCTGGCACTTTATAAGCCCCTTTCACACATACAGACCTTTCCGGAAAATTACCGGCAATAATCCGGAAAGGTTGTATGTGTGAACAGGCCCTTTTTGAAAATACTGGTAAATTCGTTCTGGCTATTTTCCGGAAAGAGAAGTTGTAACATTACCGGTAATTTGCCGGAATGCTGCGCTGTGTGAATGCAGACGGAAGATTGCCGGAAAGAGCACGTACACGTCTAGAGCGTGCTGACGTGAGACACCTGCTTTAGCCAATCAGAACAGTCAGACGCATTCACGTGCGCGCGGTTTATGAGAATAAAAGCCTTTGAATATTTTTCCAGACACCTGAAGTTGTTCACAATACTGATCCATCCACAGAGTTTGTAATGTAGTCAAATGTTTACAAACACAAGCGCAGCCGTTTAGAGGTCATTTCTGTTTAATGATGTCAGAATTTACCGGCATTTTGCGATGGATGTGTGAATGCTCTTTTGCGGAAAAATTGAGGGTGTGGGAGTGTCTATTTGGGCACGCGCGAGTTTCAGTCAAAATACTCACACACAGTAGAAAGTGATGGTGTTTAACCTACATGGACATCTGTAGTGGAATTATTTGCCAAATTATTAAATGGTTGACTTTAACTGCAGTTTGGCTCTTTCATTCAGGGAATTCATTCATGCCCCTCGCGACAAACGAGATATTTGATTCGAGGATCTGCTCTAAGCGTGTATTTTTCATGCAATGTTTGATAGCGCACGGTGAATGAGAGAAAAAAACCTCAGCATTTTCCGGAAACTTAGATGCACACGGCAGGTAGCGTCAGAAAGCCGCGTGTGTTATTCCGGTCACAAAATGCGGTAAAAACCCTACACGAGGTTAAAGTTTGGTTGTGGTCCTAACATGTTACAGTGCAATAGTTAACTTAGTTCGATACGAACAAACTGAATAAACAAAGAGCACTGGTCGCTCACTTACCAAATCTGTAGAGACAGGACAATCCACAGCAACTAGAGCCGCGTCTTTATTAAGAGAAATACTACAAGCGAATCCGATCTCAGCGTTTGCAGATGAGAACAGCTCTCAGGTAAACAATAATCCTCCTTAGACACGTAAGTTATTGTTGTCGAGCGTCGCGTACACTGTTAATCCACACGTGAGTCTGAGCTCTCACAGAGAGAAAAAGAAAACGAAACTTAACGGCAGCAAACTATAAAAGCAACACTTCACGCTTGTTTTGCCAACACAACGTGGCGTCTCTGTCGTGTAAACACAGTAATGAATATTGGTTGATTGGTTTGAGTAAGGCTGATTGGTTTGAACCAAGCCTTACTCATGCGTTAATGCAACACACTGTAAGACGTAATAAGACTCACTCTGGCACAGACGTCCAGTCTGCACGCTGGAATACAACGCTATTATGTCATGACCGTGACGCAGCTTCAAAAATTCGTTTCAAACAGGAAGTACGAATTTGCTTGAAATAACGTAAAAACAACCAATTTACACTTTTTAGTGAAATATAGGTGTCTTAATAGTGTTTTTAGCAGTGTGGGACACATATACAACTGTCAACAGCTCAAAACATGTGTTTTGGTGTTTCGTGACCCTTTAAAAGCAACAAGTTGGCTTTACTTAAAAATAAAGTAAGTAAACCAGTTATAACCTGGAACTGTTAAGCTTTGTAAACAGTATGAGTGTTAGTACTGGGTTGAGTCTGAAAGGGCACACGCTGTGTAAAACCTATGCTGGAATAGTTGGCGGTTCATTCTGCTGTGGCGACCCCAGATAAATTAGAGACTAAGCCAAAGGAAAATGAATTAATGAATTAATAATCACTTTTTAGTGTAGCGTGCGGACGCTCATCATGAACTATGTTTACATTTTTAAAAGGCATGGCGACCCCTTTTGGTCTCATTGCAGCTCTGTAGTCCTGCGGCTGATCTGTGCTGGTTTTGTGTGTTTAGGTTTTGAAAGCTTATCTGGATTACATGGTGGAGCTGGGTTTGTTGTTGGGAGGAGACAAGAATTCCACTCGGGGTCAGATGCAGCAGATTTTGGACTTTGAGACGGCGCTGGCGAACATCACCGTGCCCCAGGACGAACGGCGAGACGAGGAGAAGATCTACCACAAGATAACCATAGCTGACCTCCAGGTGCGTGTGCAGACAGGAAAGGAGATCTATGTTGAATATTGGAGATCATTTGTTTATATGGGTACACTTTAGAAGGTCACACTTTATTTGAATGTACAATTCACACTATTAACACACTATTAGGCTTTTCACTGAATGAACTGTTAATTAGCTGCTTGTTAATAGTAAGGTTTAGTTGGGTTTGGGTATTGGTTAGGATCAGGGATGTAAAATAAGATCATACTTTATAAGTGCTAATAAACAGTTAACATCTTAATAATAGGCAGGTATTAAGGCTGCAGTAAAAGGTGTGAGTGGTTACTTAAACTAAAGTGTTGCCATTTAGAATAATAGAATAAATGGAATTTTTCTGTTTAGAAGTTATCAATAATCTGTGATCAATAATCTATCTATCTATCTATCTATCTATCTATCTATCTATCTATCTATCTATCTATCTATCTATCTATCTATCTATCTATCTATCTATCTGTCTGTCTGTCTGTCTGTCTGTCTGTCTGTCTGTCTGTCTGTCTGTCTGTCTGTCTGTCTGTCTGTCTATCTATCTATCCACCATCCTTTTGTCCACCCTTCTAACTATCTATCTATCTACCTATCTATCTATCTATCTATCTATCTATCTATCTATCTATCTATCTATCTATCTATCTATCTATCTATCTGTCTGTCTGTCTGTCTGTCTGTCTGTCTGTCTGTCTGTCTGTCTGTCTGTCTGTCTGTCTGTCTGTCTGTCTGTCTGTCTGTCTGTCTGTCTGTCTGTCTGTCTGTCTGTCTGTCTGTCTGTCTGTCTATCTATCTATCTATCTATCTATCTATCTATCTATCATCCTTTTGTCCACCCTTCTATCTATCTATCTATCTATCTATCTATCTATCTATCTATCTATCTATCTATCTATCTATCTATCTATCTATCTATCTATCTATCTATCTATCTATCTATCTATCTATCTATCTATCTATCTATCTATCTATCTATCATCCTTTTGTCCACCCTTCTATCTATCTATCTATCTATCTATCTATCTATCTATCTATCTATCTATCTATCTATCTATCTATCTATCTATCTATCTATCTATCTATCTATCTATCTATCTATCTATCTATCTATCTATCTATCTATCTATCTATCTATCTATCTATCTATCTATCTATCTATCTATCTATCTTTTGTTCTGTTAATCTGTTTCACGCATGGATTGGCCACCACAGTGTCCACAACTTAACTTTATTGAGAGTCTTTGAGATGTGCTGGGGATGAGTCTGTGTGTGTCTCTCGGTCAGCCTGTCTGTCTATCTATCTAGCTATTGTTCTGTCTGTCTGTTTTACACATGAATTGGCCACCACAGAGTCCACACCTTATCTTAAGGGTGGGCCAATTATATGGATACACCTTAATACAATGGGAGTGGTTGGTGATATTAATGTCCTGTTTGTGGCACATTAGTATATGTGAGGGGGCAAACTTTTCAAGATGGGTGGTGACCATGGTGGCCATTTTGAAGTCGGCCATCTTGGATCCAACTTTTGTTTTTTTCAATAGGAAGAGGGTCATGTGACAGGTCGAACCTATTGGAAATTTCACAAGAAAAACAATGATGTGCTTGGTTTTAATGTAACTTTATTCTTTCATGAGTTATTTACAAGTTTCTTCCCATTGTGTTGGATTGTCCCACTCTTCACACACTGATAGCAACACTGCAGGAGAAATGCCAGCAGAGGATTCCAGTATCCGTAGTTTCAGGTGCTGCACATCGTGTATCTTTACACCATAGACAAATGCCTTCAGATGACCCCAAAGATAAAAGTCTAAGGGGGTCAGATCGGGAGACCTTAGGGGCTGATTCAACTGACCCACGATGACCCTACTGAAAAAAATAGCTTAAACCAGTCTAGGCTGGTTGGCTGGTTTTAGCTGGTCGACCAGGCTGGTTTTAGAGGGGTTTTGGCCATTTCCAGGCTGATTTCCAGCCATTTCCAGCCTGGTCTTAGCTGGTCAGGCTGGGAGATGACCAGCTAAAACCGGCTCGACCAGCCTAGCCAGACTGGGAGCCAAGCCAAAACCAGCTAAGTCTAGCTTAAACCAGGCTGGTTAAGCTGGTTTTAGCTGGATTAAGCTGGTCATTTTTCAGCCTGACCAGCTAAGACCAGGCTGGAAATGGCTGGAAACCAGCCTGGTCGACCAGCTAAATAAAAAAAACCAGCCTAAGCTGGTTTAAGCTGGATTTTTCAGCAGGGGACCAATCCACTTTTCAGGGAACTGTTCATCTAGGAATGCTCAGACCTGACACCCATAATGTGGTGGTGCACCATCTTGCTGGAAAAACTCAGGGAACGTGCCAGCTTCAATGCATAAAGACGGAAACACATCATCATGTAGCAATTTCAAATATTCAGTGGCCTTGAGGTTTCCATTGATGTAGAATGGCCCCACCATCCATGTTGTCTATGAAGTGAAGATACAAGATGTGTAGCACCTCAAAATACGGATACTGGAAGCCCGTGCTGGCATTTCTCCTGCAGGGTTGCTATCAGTGTGTGAAGAGTGGGAGAAGAGGCTTGCATTGACAATCCAACACAATGGGCAGCGCATTGAACACATTTTATAAGTGGTCAGACACTTGTAAATAACTCGTGAAAGAATAAAGTTACGTTAAAACCAAGCACATCATTGTTTTTCTTGTGAAATTCCCAATAAGTTTAATGTCAAATGACCCTCTTCCTATTGAAAAAACAAAAGTTGGATCCAAGATGGCTGAATTCAAAATGGCCACCATGGTCACCACCCATCTTGAAAAGTTTGCCCCCTCACAAATACTAATGTGCCACAAACAGGGCGTTAATATCACCAACCATTCCCATTTTATTAAGGTGTATCCATATAAATGACTCACCCTGTATATTGAGAATATTTTAAATGTGCTGGGGAAAACCCTGCTAAAAAAATCCATCTTAAACCAGCCTAGGTTGGTTGGCTGGTTTTAGCTGGTCAACCAGGCTGGTTTTAGAGGGGTTTTGGCCATTTCCAGGCTGGTTTCCAGCCATTTCCAGCCTGGTCTTAGCTGGTCAGACTGGAAAATGACCAGCTAAATCCAGCTAAAACCAGCTTGACCAGCCTGGTTTAAGCTGAACATAGCTGGTTTTGGCTGGGCTCCCAGCCAGGCTAGGCTGGTCAAGCTGGTTTTAGCTGGTCATCTCCCAGCCTGACCAGGTAAGACCAGGCTGGAAATGGCTGGAAACCAGCCTGGAAATGGCCAAAACCCCTCTAAAACCATCCTGGTCGAACAGCTAAAACCAGCGAACCAGCCTAGGCTGGTTTAAGCTGTTTTTTCAGTAAGGAAGTCTTCACATTCTCATCTCTGCCTCAGATGTTTTTCTTTCCTCCTTCTTTGCATATCCGTTCCTTTTCATGTCTTCTGGCACTGTTCCATCAGTTAATTATTAGAGTATTTTTTCTTCCATCTGAGCACCTGTGTTTAGGAAACTTTTGTTTAGTGAAGGCTCCTGTGATTTCCCTGGTAACAGTTGCTGAGCAACAGTATAGTGAGGTGGAAGGGTTTTGCATGATGGATGATCGCTGACTGATTAGGTGATGTCTGCCGTCAGTGTGAAGAGAACGAAATCCAGTCCCTTGAAAAGCTGCGTATTAAAGTGACATTTACAATTAGGATTTTGTTTATAATTATAATGATCTTCAAAACGGCTCTTGAAAACAAATAACAGTTTTTTTAGACAGACGTCAGTACAGTAAATGTTTGTCAGCATAATTTTTGAGGTGAAACTTCACATACACACTCGAGGGACTTATTTTATGTCTTGTTAAAAGGGTCGCCTTTAAAATCTCAAATCATATAGCATATTTGACATATGACATGTGTAAGTCCTTATTTAATCAGAAAGCGAACAAAAATGTGTTGTTTTTTTACCTCCAAGGGCATGTTTTCAGCCTGAATATAATTGTCTTTCATCTCAACTCTCATTAATCGAAGATTGCAGTGACTTCTTATTTTGTACATCTTTATGCGGAGCGTCCTCAAGGGTTCACTTGGGGTTTTTTGAGTTTATTAAAAAACAACAGCTCTCATAACCCGCACGAGAGAGAAGGAAAAGAGTCCATTTTAGGCAGCTAATCTGTTTTCATCTGCCAGAATCCACAGCAGAGATGAGGGTTATGTGGTGAATGAGGGGCTTTCGGGCTGCGTGTTTACGATGGAGGTCTTTGTTGTATTACACCCAAGGGCAGAACTGAATCTGGGAGTCAGGAATGCAAACATGCGGGTTATTGGCTCTAGTCTGCTGATTATTTTCGAGCGTTTTGTGCAAATCGAATCTGAACACGCAAGCTGTGTCCTTGTTATGGTTGAAAGAGAAGTCATTAAGGCAAAACACTGAGACAAGCAGCGCTCTCACAGTCAAGGTTATGGAGAAAGAAAGTATGAAAGATGGCTGTAATTAAAAGTAACACTCCATATATTGGTGGCCTGCAGTAAGCTGTTTTATTAAAGTGCATCGCCCTTCGTGATGACGCACCATGTTGAGTTTAAAGGACCAGCCGGATACTGTTCCCTTCAGAATTATTAAGTAAAAACACTGTAAGATGCATTGTCATTATTATAAAATTAAGTGTAAAATAGTTCATTTTTTAAGTTTAACTATAAGCCAAATTATGAAACATAAATTCCATGATGTAAAGTGACAATTGTGAGAAATTAACCACAATTTTAGTCATATTGTGAGAAATAGTCACATTGTGGTATTATGTGCAAAGCTGTAGTAGTATTTTGGTCGTTTTAGTAACAATTCTTACTATTAAGGAGGCTATTATTATTATTATTATCATTATCATTATTACCCGTCTAGTATTAAGATATTGGCTGTTTACTAATACTTATAAAGTACATATTTTGTATCTTATTCTACAACCCTAATCCTACCCAAGAGGCAACCTCCTGCTCTCCCTCAGGAAGCCAATACGGAAGTAACTAAAACTGCAATT